TTTCTTTTTTTTTTTTATTTTATTTTAATACACAACGGCTGAGAGATTATCATGCCTGAAATATGTGGGCGTTCTTTACCGATAATAGTAACGTAAACCAGGGTTCCTTCACCTCCAAGGGCAGCGATTAATTCGGGCCTGCTGGGCCCGATCCCGCCCTCTGCCCAGGGCGTTGAAATACAGGTTGTGTGAGCACAAGAGAGGGTGCAAGCCAGGCCCATTAGGCACAAGTCCTTTTCATTAACCCGCACTGACAGGTTGACCTCCAAATCATATTTCTCCTTGCCTCTTTTCAAAAAATCCCTTTTCTTGCATGTTTGTGCTCTTTCACGAACTACTAAGCGACGCCCCAGATATATAGGATGCATGGCATCCCTGGGACACGGGATGCTCCAGCATCCCGGAATCCCCCTGATTCTGATACCCCCTTTTCTGATATGCTTGGTCCCGGGTCAATGACATCATGCACTCTATAAATTCAAACCCTTCTCGGCTTTTTAAGGCATGCACCGGGCAGCTGAGCGATGCGGTGGGCAGCCGGGGGAAAGGGAGAATCGGCACCCCGGTGCTCAGGGAGCTGCGGAAGGGAGAGACGCCGAGGGAGCTGCACGGCCAGGGCAGAGCCTCAAAAGCAAAGGACGGGGTGTCCTTGGGGTGCTTCCGTGTGTCTGATTATTTCTCGGCTTTAATGAAAATTGTGGAGGGAGATCCCGGTGCTGCTGCACGGAGCAGGGATGGGTATATCTGGCGTCGGTACCGGGCACCTCAGCGATGCCTGTGGCGCTCGCTGCTGCCCCGTCCCCGCCGGTTTCGGGCGCTCCTCAAAAGGAAGGTGCGCTCCAGCAGCAATGAGCGGGCTCGCTGCCCAGGCACCGGGGAGGCGCCTCTCTGCCCCTGGCCTGCTCCTCACAGGCCTGGCCCAGCGCAGCGTTCCGAGGTCAGCCAGCCCGGGAGTCCCCAGCAGATGTGGCTTTCCGACCACCCAGCGTCGGCATCTCTTCCCCGTTTCCATACGGTTTTCCCCGGCTGATTCGGAGAAATTAGCTTAATTTGCAATTTAGCTTAATTCACACAAGCCCGGCGGGGAGGAGGGGGGAGCGCGGCTCTATTGTTCTGTTATCCCAGCTCCCACCCCGCTCCCGGCCCGGAGAAGAGGAGTGACCTGGCGATAAGCGGCCCGGCGGCGG